ACCAACTGTACTACAGAGAAAGCTTGATCTCCTTTTTTTCTTCAGTTTGGATCTAGGAACTACTAGCAGTTCCTGGTTCGATGACCTTAAACATTTGCTGGATATTTTAGCAGTATTAAGATTAGAGAGATAAGTTGGAGCCTGGCCATTTAATACCTTAAAAACATACATTAAAATTTTAAACTCAAATCTAAAACGTATTAGCAACCAATTTAGGCAGCACAGGATAGAAGTAATGCGTTCAAACTTGCGGGTGCCAAAGAGAAGCCTAGTGGCTGCATTTTGGACCACTTGATATATGGCCAACACTTACATAAATAGAGTTACAGTAGTCTAAGCTTGATGATATACAGTACAGTTGAAGTCAGAATTATTAGTGCCCCCCCCTCCCTTTTTATATATATATATTTCCCAAATGATGTTTAATAAAGCAAGGAAATTTTCACAATATGTCTGATAATATTTTTCTTTCTGGTGAAAGTCTTGTTTGTTTTGTTTCAGCTATAATAAAAGCAGTTTTTAGTTTCTTAGAAAACATTTTAGGGTCAAAATTATTAACCATTTTAAGCTATATATTTTTTGATAGTCTACAGAACAAACCATCGTTATACAATAACTTGCATAATTTCCTTAAACTGCCTAGTTCACCTAATTAACCTAGTTAAGCCTTTAAATGTCACTTTAAGCTGTTTAGAAGTGTCTTGAAAAATATCTAGTCAAATATTATTTACTATCGTCATGACAAAGATAAAATAAATTAGTTATTAGAAATAAGTTATTTAATTTATTATGTTTAGAAATGTTTTGAAAAACTCTTTTCACCGTTAAACAAAATTGGGGAAAACATAAACATTGTGGCTAATAATTCTGACTTTAACTGTACAGCATTTTTTTACAGTGCTGTGTACAGATTGACACTTTTATCAAGTGCATGTGTCAAATTATACAAGCGGAAGTGGAAATTCATACACTTACTATACTTTTGTAGTAACCTTTTATAGCATGTTTATTTTAGAAATCTAATTTCTGTAGACAAATACTTCTAATATCTTAGATTAAAAATTTAAAGAAACAAAAACTCAACTCAACATACTACAACTACCATTATATCAACTGTATGTATTATTTTTCATTCTATTCATTTTCTGATACAGTCATGCTGACACTAATGTTCCCCTGTAACACCAACCTTCTCTATAAACTTTATAAAGGTGCCTTTGAGACCAGTGTCTTATTATTTCCCTCTTACTGTATTGTCTTCTGGGTATTTTGTAAAAATCTATCCAGAAAACAACTTCCACTGCAATGTTATTAGTGGAGAATTACAAAGTAACACAGTTTCATTAGTCTACAAACAAGCGCAGATCAATGGAGGCTGGTCAACAGCAGCGTTCTCCTCTAATTGCCTTCTTCTCAGTCAAAGGCTTCTTAAAAGGCTCTGATAGAGAAGAATAGACATTAAGCTCTATCTCCAACATTCAATCTCTTATCTTCTCCCTTCATCACCCTTCCTTTGCCTTTTCCCTTCTTGTCCTTCAATGCCCTCAGATTTACCATCGTCCAATCCACCGCATGCGTCCCTCAACCCAATGACCCCGTACTAAACTGGTTTCTCTGCTACTCAGTCTCATTTACCGTGAAGTAGAACTGTTCGGTCTCCTGCTGGTTGGCTCGTCTCTTGGCCAGGCTGGGTTTGCTCATGAAAGACTCAGACACTGTGGACTTGACCGACTCCATTGAGTTGCTGTGGTGGAAGCAGTCGGTCACATCGAAGTCCTCTATGGTCACCATGTCCTGGATGGTCTGTAAAGTGGCCTCCATGGTCTTCTTAACCTGGAGGAACAGCATAACTATTATAGTTCACATTTGTCAGAAATATTACAACCAAAGTAAGTGATTGATTTAGGAATTCCCGCTTTGGATTGATTCATCAAGTGTTTTAATGTCGTATAAACGGGTGCACTGAATTCAAATATTGTAATATAATAAATTATATCTATATTATATATTTATAAATTATAGATTTTCAATGGGATGTTTGGATGATAAAAAACACTGGAAATGTGAACAAGAGATTGGCACATACTTCCATGCTTTATGGTAGTGTACAAAGATTTTACCCTTTAGGGAATCTGTGTTAAAAAAATTAGGCAGATGCCTGGCATTTAACATTCCTCTCTCACCTAGGATATGTCTTTTAGGTGATAAAACTGAGGTTCCATATTTTAAAAATGATGTGTTCTCCCTTATAATTGTTAATATAACTACAGCAGCACATATAATACTGAGGTTTTGGAAAGGCATTCAATTCCCTACACTTAAATTATGGATTTAATTCATGATTGGGAATGCTTCATTTGAAAAATGTAAGCCAAAATGAATGGTGATCATAAGTAAGTGGACATATGGGAGAATTTAATTTCATCATAGAAACTATGAACGTGTCTACTCTGTTGTGCTCTCTAGTATTATCTTTATGCATTTGTTATTGTTTTCCTAATAATTTTATATATTTATTTCAAAATTTGTTAACAATTTTCTAAACTATAGGTTTTCTAATTGTTTTAACCTATACGAAAACAGAAACAGTACTATATTTTGGTAGTTTAATATTTAAAATTTTATATTTAATATATTTTTCATTATGTTTATTTACACTTTCAATATCTTTTAGTGTGTCATTTTACTGTTTAGGCATAAAAATGTCTGAAAAAGTTGACTTCATTCAAAGGGAGCTCTCTATATCAGTTTTCAAATGCCTCGATTTTAGGAGTGCTAAATATTTTTTTCCAGGAATGTGCATGTCATAATATCCAGAATTTAAATATTTGAAGTTGTGTTAGTGTTGTCGACATGTCCAAGCGATGCTGTTTTACGAATCTAATATGCCGATACACATGCAATTTCTTTCCCATGGCATGTTTTGGTATCACACAAAATGAGATTAAATCGCAGGGCTATAATAAATAATCTCTGACATATTTTGTGCAGTGACTGAGAGAGGTCAAACAAACTCCAAGTTAGGAAAAATCATGCAAACAGAAAAACACTAACAAAGATCTTCATCAGTTTGACAACATACACTCAAAAAAATATTTTTGCTGCATGTTCAAGCTACTTATTCATAAAAAGCTCAATCACCACAATTCTTGAGAGTTTTTTGGGATAACTTAATTGTTTTATGTTCAATTAACTTAAATTTGTAAAAACAATTAAGTTAACTTTATTGATTTGTGTTTAGACAACATGAAGCAATTTTTAACAGTGTACACATGCATGCAAATTCTGAAACGCACAGCAGACCAAAACAGAAACGTGTCAGGGGACCCCAAAAACGCATGAACCGGGCTGCTTACTGTTTGATCTGAGAAAAAAGGTCTTTTTTATTTTAACATTCTGATCATAAGATTCCTGTCTATGTTTAGCCCCAGTAATCTGACACATTGCACAATGAATGTTAAATAAAATGTTATTTTAATGAAATGGTAGCAAGAGTTACTTTCAGAACTACAAATGCAGATGAAGATGTTTTAAAACTAGAAAAAGTAAGATTGAATTGTGGCAAGACATACACTAAATTAATCTTAAAAATCTTTAAAATATTTTGAACACAAGTCAGAAAACAAGTAAAAACACATTGATCCTATAAATGATATATTTTAGAGTAAGAGACAAAATAGCATAATAGTCTCATATTGACTTTTGTGCTTTATTGAAATCTAAACATTAACCCATTAAGAATGTTATTTTACTTCCTCAGTCCAACCATAGCCATTTAAAACACATTAAAGTGACTTATGTGGACGTCTGGCAAAAATCAATTGACTTCCTTCTCATTTCCTTTGATGGATTTCAACATAAATGTTTAATTATAAAGTTAAACAGATCTACACCCCTTAAGATTTTATCAAATTAGCCTAAATACGTAAACAAACACTCAAGCACCAGGGATTTATCGATTGTTGTTCATGTGTTTGGTTTAGACAAAAGTGTCTGCCAAATTCTTTAATATAAATAGCACAACTATGAAATTCAGTGGAATATACATATTTTATATATTATATTCAACATTTCCAAAGTTTTTATCAATTACATTGTAACTTGTGTGAGAGCATTTGTAGTGAAATATCTTAATTAAATAACTTTGACTCAACTCAATGCTTTGATTTAGAAGAGAGTAAAAGGAAACGGATGTGAAAAAAGTGTTCAAAGTTTGACAGGTGAGATGCATGCACACAATTCTTGAAAGATGACTGCAGATGAATCTCATCAAGTGTATGCATGCATTTGTATACATTATATACTGTGTGTAGTTTTGGTACTGTATGTGCCATATACATTTGCAACTATGTATACAAACACGTTTCCTATTCATTTGTCACCTCTTCATTCTCTATATTCAGTGTGGACAGACGGGACTGAAGCTGCTGGCATCTCTGGATCAGCTCTCCCTGCACAGGCTGCTGGGCACACAAATGTCCAACCTGATGGAGAATAAAACAACAACAACAAAAACTTGAGATGACAAAGCAGAGAAGTGAAGCAAAACCCTGTCCAGCAGTAATCATACAGCTGCTGTTCCCATATGCTATAAAGAGCGGAGTGACCTCTGCTAGCCTATATCTGCCTGCATGTCTTTCTTTTACGCTTTCAGTCTTTTTTTGCCAGCTGGGGAACATCTGGCTCAGTGTGGTCCACCCTTTCCCTGAGGGCCGAACGCTCGACGGGGCACATGTGCATTGGGGAAAACCAGCTGCTCTGTTCATCACACACACATACAAACATCCAGGACCCTGATGCAGAGCTGGCTAAAAACAAAAACAGCAGTGCAAAGTTCAACAAAGCAGAAAGCACTGTTGATTTGTTGACACTGTTGATTTATTTCACAAAATTAAAATGTAATCCTTTGGGAGAGGTGTTGCATCTAATTTTACTTTAAGATGTTTCCTTCAATTTAATTTCAATATTTAAAGTGCTTTGTGTTTTTATTTATACTCTACATTGATGTATTTGTTTATTTGACATTTAAAACAGACACTGTAAAATTGGCTTCAGCTTGAAAGAATCAGGCAAGCAAGCAAGGTGTAATACACTAAGAATTTTTCTGAAAATCAAAATAAACATTTAATAAATATAAATAATTGTTAAAGTATTGTTACAGTTTATTTAATTTAATTAAATTATTTACCAATATTATTGAAATGAGTTTAAAACAAACAAAGAAAGATGAGTTTGAAAAAAAAAATGCAAAAATACATTAAGTAAAACTTTAAACAAACAAATAAAAAAACATAATTTTAAAAGAAATACAAGTAAAAAAAATAAAAATAATAATAATATTTTAAATAAAACATTAAACATATGGAGGACCAGGAGTGCCAGTTAGAAATAAATTGAAGAAACAATTTATTAATTTTATTATTGAAGGATAAAAATGTGTATAATTAAATCACAATTTAAATGGACAATTAATGTGTTGTTTATTTATTAATACACATTTCAAAGTTACTTTTAAATGCATTGATTTATTGCTTTATTCAAAGACATTTATAAACACAATTTAAATAAAAAAATTTAAATATGTCTAAATATTTGTCCATTAAATGTCCATTTAAATTGTGATTTATTTATACACATTTTATTTCTAAACAGCACTCCTGGTCCTCCATATAAACAAACTAATAAATAAATAAATAGATAAGTAAGTAAGTAAGTAAATAAAAAAATAAAAAAATAAACAAACAAACAAATATATTTTAGAAAGAAAGAAATACAAGTTGAAAAAAATACAATAATATCTAAAACAAAGTAATATGTAAATAAATAAACAAACAAACAAACAAACAATTACATTTTAGAAAAAAAGAAAGAAATGCAAGTTGAAGAAAGAAATACAATAATATATTTAAAATAAACAATAAAAAAACTAATAAATAAAAAATAAATAGATAGATAAATACATTTTAGAAAATAAGAAAGAAAGAAAGAAAGAAAGAAAGAAAGAAAGAAAGAAAGAAAGAAAGAAAGAAAGAAAGAAAGAAAGAAAGAAAGAAAGAAAGAAAGAAAGAAAGAAAGAAAGAAAGAAAGTCAGTGTGCAGGCAAGCATACCAGGTATGATATTTCATGATGCACAATTTCAATGCATGACTAAATATCTAAATATCAGCTCCAATAATCTTAGCAGTCAAATTGCCAATTAAGAACAAAACTTCACAATGGCAACATTTATTATTTCAGGGCTCCAGCAACAGAGGCCTCTCAGCAGGCACGTCTGCCACTGATTGAGAAACGCTTCATTCCTCTGGAGGTGTCTGGGTTTGTCTGGACATGCAGTGAGACACAGTCTTGTGAGATTCTCATGTAACAGCAGGAGAGACAATGTTGAACATTGTGTAACAGCACTGACTGGTATTTTGTAGAGTTATTGTTTTTTTGTGACATTGTCAAGATGTTTGATATATTGGAGCAAAAGCATTTGGCATCATTAAAGCAACACTTATTTGCGTAAGGCAAAAAATTGCTGGTAAATCCAGAAACAAAATTAGCTAATAGTTATTAGCAGACTTCCACAGTTGATTTTTTAAACTTAGAATTTAAAACCTTTTATTACGAAAATGCTGTTTGAATATGCATTATTTCAATAAATATGCACTAATTTGCATACATAGCCTAGAATTCTGGACATTAGATGAAGGAATAAGATGTATAAAATAAGGGCTCAAAATTAAGTCTTGAATGTGTAAAATACTTTAGAATATAGAAATTAATTAATTAATAATTTATTAGAAATAAATAAATTAATTAATTAATTAACTAAATTGAAGAAGTTTAGTGTATGTTGGTGTTGCTGAAGTGGAGATTTATGGCTCAATGCAGGAGAAAAAGCTATAAAGGATACATCTAAAAGTTGAACAAAAATGTAAATAAATAAGCATGAAAACAATATTTTTGCCTTCAGGATTTTGTATATCTGTTGTATCACCTATTACCCACATTGTAGCTCTGCTGTTGGTATATTGTTTGGGGATTGAAAATAATTAGCAGTATTTGAACAGTGCTATATCATAAGCAGTCATAATCACGCCAACTGACCATGTCACCCATGTGAGACTGGAAATCGAAGCGCATCGGAGGACAGAAGACGTTGTTGTAGGTCTCCATGAGCCGCTGTTTGTCTGAGTTGGCCTCCAGGTTTTCTGCTGCATTCTCAATGGTCTCCAGGCCCCCGTGTTTGGATGTCTCCACGTTAAACTCAGCCGAGAGGTAGGTACGCAGTGCACGGTTCAGGCTGGCATGGTAGCCCAGATCACAGCACTGGTAGACGAAAGGGGAAAGGGAAAAAAAAGCATTTTATTTCAAGGGGTTTATGAAGATTTAGAGTTTAAATAGAGTTAAAATTTAAAGTAAATTACTACATCATTGCTTTCATCCACATATTCTTCTTCTTATTATTATTAAATATAATTATTAGTGCAAATTAAAATAAAACTTTGAATTAGTAACATAATAGCAGTGTTAATTATTTTACTATTTTTATTATTATGATTATTATTATTATAACAATTAATACTAATACTAATACTAATAATAATAATAATATATAAATAAATAATTTTATTAGCACCAATCGAAATGTAACATTATAATTACAGTAATAATATAATAGTATTTTTTACTTTTATTATTATTATTATTATTATTATTATTATTGTTGCTGTTATTATTATTATTATTCATTTAATCATTCATTTATTCATTTTCCTTCGGCTTAGCCTCTATTACAGAGGTTACCACAGCGGAATGAACCGGCAACTCTTCTGGCATATGTTTTACACAGCTAATGCCCCTCTAACCGCAACCCAGTACTGAAAAAAATATTATTATTTTTTTTTTCTTTTTATTAAATGTCCACAAAATCTAAATCAATCAGGCAGAAACTTATATTCACAGAAGTTCACTCAAAAAGAGGACAGCGTTGTGTGGGCCCCTCTGTAACCCATCTAAGGCTTATTTGCTTTCTGGACTTTCTGGATGTTTTATTGAGAATCTGATGCTGATACAGTGGGACAAGCGGGTCCTCTACAGGAGCTCACATTGGGGAATCTACAGGTCAGGGTCACACTTGAAGAAAGAAGCCTGATGAGGCAGAACACACTGTCAGAGGCCATTACTGCACTGCGGTACACTTTAAACACGGGCACATTCAGGCCATTCCTTTTAAAACACCCTTTTAAGGCTGCAGAGAACTGGACTTAATCAAGTGCAGGGTGAAAAAAAAGTTGGCCAATAATATTTAACTGTGAGAACAATTTTCTTAATGCTTTTGAAGCATATTGATAGTACACCATAATCATTCTGTGTTTTTTTTTTAATTAAATTCAAATGATTTCTCATTTGAAATGTTTAAAAAAGTACAGATTTTCATTTTCATTTTTTGTGCATTCTAATGTACATGTAATGTAATGTATTTTAATAAATATGACATTTGTTAGAATTGTTTAAAAAAGAACCTGAAATGGAGACAAATTAATTATTTAAAGTAATAAATTTTTATTACAATTTAAATTTAAGTTGCTTTGATTTAAAAATTTAAATTGCAAAAATAGCTTAGATATCGCTACGCTACGTTTGCCAAGTAGCTTTTAGCTTAGCTTGCTACATTTCCCAAAGGGTAGCTTTTAGTGTAGTTAAGCTACATTTTAAACAGATTAGCTAATAGTTTAGCTCACTACATTTTCAAATAGCTTGCCCAACCCTGATATTGCACAATTATACGTGAATGTTGTTTTTTAAATTTTATTTTAAACATGACAAAAGCATTAAAGAGGAATATAAGTGGTGTAGCTAAAAAAAGTTTTTGCATTAACTTTTAACAGAAGACTAGAGACACATAAGCTTTTGAAGTCAAAGAGGTGGACTTACATCGATGAGGTCAGACAGATCATGGATGTAGTATTTGAAGACGCAGCTGTTTGTGGCCTCCAGAGCCAGAAGATACTCATTCCTGGCCTTGATAGCTTTCAGCTTATTCTCAGTGTATTTGGCCTGCCGCTGAGAATAAAAGGTAAAACCATGATGAGACAAAAAAATTGAAAGATAATGAATCAAGTCAAATCAAATAAAGGCGGTCTCGACCCCTGAAAAGAACCAAATGCATCTTAAAAGTAGTCTAAATTACTTTAACACCAAAGTCTCTCAAAGTAGTGTAATATGATAGCATCAGGAAGTCCAACCCTGGTTAACACATTTATTTTATCAACATTAAAACTATTCAATTAATTAAATGATAAAATATATTCAATCAAAAATATAATTTTAAATGAAAAATAAATAAATTCTACTAAAATAAAATAAAATAAAAATAAATAAATATGTATTAATTCAAATTAAATTAAATTGAATTTTTAAATACAATAAAATAAGTAATAAGTTACACATAAAAATCAATTCAATTAATTGATCGATTAAAATAGAATAAATTAAAATTAAATTAAACTAAATAGATTTTAGGTAAAATACAATAAAATAAATAAAAAAATGTAATTAAATAGAATAAAAAGCAAAATAAAACAAAAAATTATAAAATAAAATAAATAAAAATAAATAAATAAAACAAATAATAACTAAATAAAACAAACAAGCAAAAAAGTTTATTGTATGTTGAATTCTAGTAACATTATTGGTTCACCATCAAACGTGTATAAAATAATTCTGTGTGAAACCCTAGCACATGGACAAAACCTTGCTTAACTGTTACTAATATGCCAGTGTCAGAGCAGCCACCACAAACTCCAGTACATTTGCATCTGTACTGTACTTGTGTACACATAGAGATTCTGCTGTTAGTCTTGTGGAAACAGAAGTGGCCCTGGAACAACCTAGCAATGATCCCATCTATCATTCTGTAAGCGCCTGCTACTGGACAAAGATGATAGCAAGAAAAGTTCAGGCGAACAAAGCCATGAATTGACAACAATATCAGGCCTAGACATGCTAATGCCTGACCTCTGACCTCATGTCGTCTTATTACATCATCAAATGACATTCAACAACACAGTATACACAGTCATAGAGGAGAGGTTCATTTTGAGTGGCGTTTAGTGTTCAGGATTACCGTATCCAATTGGACATTTCTGGAATTTGTGGCCTGGAAACTCAAGAACATGAGATCACTACTATAAATTTGCAAACATGTCGAGCCTTGACTAAAAAGGTTTATTTTGTAAAAAAGCCTAGCTGAATATACGTTGATTGTACATTGTATGCTTTGTAATAAACCAATTATATATTACTATTACCATTTATATCAATATGTATAATAATAACTAAATTTCATGTGTGGTATTTTAATTTATTTCAAGTTAAAATAAATTAAATAAAAATAAAATAAAGAAAATAATAAAATGTAAAAAAAAATTAATTAAATATTAAATTGAAAATAAAATAAAACAAAATTAAATAAATAAATTAAATATTAAATTAAAAATAAAATAAAATAAAATTTAATTAATTTGATTTAATAATTTGTCAGCATCTTATTTAGTTATTTTTTGAACATTAAACGACTATAGTTACATTGTAAAAATGTTATTGAATTTATTTTGGACATTGAAACTAATATTACACAATTACAAATAATATTACACAACAATATTGGTCTGTTATTTTTATTTATTTATATTTTTTGTATTTTTGCTAAATTTAAATTTTTCAAATTATGTTTTTTTAATTAACAGCTGTCAAAACCATCCATTGCTGGTCACATGGTTCTTTCTTTAATTAATTTATCATTTATTATTTTCATTTGACTGCAGAATTTGCTGATTAACCATTCAGAATAACACATTCCATAGAGCCATGTCATGAGTACAGATTTATTTATCTATGATTAGCAAGGATTGTGTATCTTTTGTGTGTTATAAACAGAACAACCCCAATCAACAGGTCATTAAATTTGTCCAGGATCAGATTCAGGACCCTCATCCCCATCTGGCAGTGACGGCATTCTCTGCATCGCTCACCACCTCATTGCTCCTGCGTTCGCTGTCTCTCAACTCCCACTCCATCACCTTTCCAATTCCCTGAATCTCCCTCCATCTGTTCATTCTTCTCCTGCCCACGTTCACCTTTCCTCCACATTCTCTGTTTAAACTGTCCAAGAGAGCGCTATTTCTCTATCCATTATAGCGATAGTTTATCCAAAGATCTAAATGATGTCATAATATACTCACCCTTAAAGAAAAACTTTACTTTTTAGGTAAAAGGCTCATTTTACAAGTCTAGAGGGAGCACTTTTAGCTTAGCTTAGCATAACTCATTAAACTGGATTAGACCATTAGCATCTCACTCAAAGAAGCATTGATATTACACATTGTTGTTACCTAGTCACCTAGCTGGGGGCTAGTTCAGGCGCTGTAACTTCATTGCACCTGCTGCAGTCATGGTACAGCGGCAAAATCCCTAATTATTACACCACAGTAATGCTGTGTTTACACCAGACGCGGAACATAAAAATAAATTACATTACTCGAGTGTAAATAGACACGTTTTGAGTTTACTCGCTTCATTCGTGTTAAATTTGCTTCATTTGCTCATCAAATTCACTTCACATTAGACGCGGATTCGCATCATGGGCAGGGCTTCTGTTTGCCCGGTGACTCTAGCTTCGTTGCTAAATGGCTAATATGGATTTTATTGAGAGAGTAGCTGTATTTATGTGTTTTAGGAAGGCTGATAAACAGCGTATATTCATTCAGCGCCGTGTCTGAATCCACTAGATCCTTTTAGAGGTGCACATACCCTGGGAGTTCATCAACTCTTCCAGAAAATATACCTGGATGATGGAGGCTTTTAGCTGTGCTTTGGACTGAGCCAAGCCCAGTTTGATGAACTGTTGTCCGGTGTCGGCAAGAGAATTTCGCCTCAGGACACCAACAACAGGCCCTACATTAAAAAGCTCCTGACTGGTTAACGCAGCCTGAATGTCTGCTGAAGTTCTGATTTTCCAACTCGATCTTCAAACGCTCAAAACCCTCTACTCACGCCCCTTCATTAGATGAATTGTGTCATTTGCGCCGCCTCATTCGCCTCTGTTGTGAACACAGCATAACAGTATAGCTATCAGCATCCTATCTAAATCAGCATAGGAAACTTTTCGTTTTCCATCATGTGTTAGTACACAATGTAACAACAGAAAAGTCAAGCTTTAACAAATGATTGAAACTCATTTTTGAGCAAGATGCTAATAGTCTAATCTGATTTAATGATCTGTTAAGCTAAGCTTAAAATGCACCTGGCAGACCCAGAAATCGCCCGAGTGGATTCAAAAAACGATTCATTTTCTCCAAAAAAGTGGAGTGTTCTTTTACTTGTTCCAAACTTGTTTTGTTTTTTTCTGTTACTAAATACACAAAATAAGATATTAAAAAAAACTGTAAACCTTTACATATTTAGCAAGAAAAAATACTATGCAAGTCAATTGGTTTCTATCATTCTTCTAAGTGTCGCCTTTATGTTCATCAGAACAAGAAAAAAACTTTTAAAACAAGTTTAAAACATGTGCAGGGTGAATGAATAATGACCATTTTGTTCACCTCATTAACAGTAACTTTTGTACTGAGATGAACTCGACATTCTTTTTAATATCTAGAACTTCTGCTACTATTCTGCTGCCCGATAAAAACAGTCCATTGAATATGTTCCAAACTGACGGAATCTTCTTATCTGACTTCTATTATTTGCCTGTTCATTTTTCTTAAGTATCTTTTGATATAAAGCGCCATAGAAATAAATGTGGCTTGGCTAGAGCCAGTGATGTGGCTGCTCACCTTCTCCTTCATCTTCTCAATCTTCTTGACGGAGCTGCGGCGCACGTGTTTATCCTCGATCTTGATGTTGGTGAGAGAGTCAGGTGAGCGAGGGGTCTGTTTTTCCTCATGCCGGACACTGCGGCTCATCTGTTTCTCCTCCTGCTTCTCTGCCTCCTTCAGCTTGCTCTCTGCGTTGATGCTGTCCATGTTGTACATGTGATAGGTCTTCATCACCTGTGCAGTAAAGAGTTTAAGGGACAGATTATGCTAATTATCATGAGCTAATTTCGCAATCCCATAAAAGTGTCAACGAGAGTTGGAAGTTCTGAGTAATATACTGACAATGTGTAAATTAAAGGATTAATTTAATTTCTGCCATTCTCTTAATTAGGGCTGTACGATACATCGTTTCAGCATCGAAATCGCGATGTGCGCATCCGTGATAGTCACATCGCAGGAGGGTGCGATGCAACAAAAAAAATAAAAATAAATTATATATATTGGCTATATGTATTATGGGTGGAGCAGAACCCGAATACAGTATTCGCATAAGCACAAATAGCGTGTTTTTACCAATACTTATTTCGAACAAATACTTGAAAAATGATTTGTATTCGGGGAACAAGAAAAACATTATATCAAAAAGCTGCGTTTCCTCATGAGACCGCAGTGCATGCCCGCATGAGTGAGTGAGTGAGACGTTCAGGAGTCGGAGGCGGGGTGGGGCCGGGGAAAAAAGGTGACTGAAGCATGCTGCTGCTCCACAACAGCAACAGAGAAGGCTTGGCAGAGCGAAAAATACTGCATTACTATTTTTGTTAAATATTTTTTTTTCATCATACTAAAATAACACTCAAAAGTGAAAGTTCTTTCTGTCATTAATTACTAACACTCCCATCATTACTACTTTCAGAACATAAATTTTGATATTTTACCATATGAAAATGCAATGCAGTTATGAAAATTGTGAAATTAAAGCAAAAGTGAAGAGATCTGGTCCCCACGTCAGGTCAGGGTGCACCTGTAAACTTTAAAACGCAGACGCGGAGGCGCACTAAACTTACACGGGAGAGAACTGGGCATTCAATTAATGTTTTAGTTAAATAATTCTTTAAATACAGCTATATATACTTAAGACTAGGGCTGTGATGGTCACGAGACAACCACGTCACCACCGTGGTCAGTTGCCACCGCCGTTGTCCATTGCCACCTGCTGTAGTACGTAACGTCACGCATATATATATAATATATATATGTATATATATATATATATATATATATATATATATATATATAATATCGCAATATATATCGCACGGAAAAAAATATTGCAATGTTAATTTTTTTCCAATATCGTGCAGCCCTACTCTTAATGCTTCTTACATCCTTGTCGCAGTACCAGTGGCCTGGTACATACCAGTTACAAAGGTACCAGTGCTATAATGGCATTTCGGTACCCAACCCTATTCCCTCTCCCTTGGTTTTTTTCACATTGGATGCGGAAAGCACCACACGCGCTATGAAACCCATTCGTTTTAATAGCTTGTGCCTTGCAAGTGCAGTTTGTTGTTTTTCTGACCAAAGAGCAAGAGCAGCTTTCATACTGGAAGTGAATAAATAGTTTATTGAACACAGACCAAGCTGTTAGTTTTTATTATTCCATAGTCTGTTGGCTGGGAGTTGATTTCTTTTTAATTTCTTCTCTAAAGGACACAGGCTAATAAGAGCACTGTGAACTACATCGTCACACAACAACATTGTAACTACATTGTTATAACATTGTAATTACATCTGAGATGTAATCACGTTATAACATTGTAAATACATTTGAGATGTAATTACAAACTTGTCTTGTGTGCAATTACTGTCGTTACATTGCACTTACTATGTCATTACATTGTAAATACATCCAAGATAATATTTAAAAATGTAAATGTTTCTTTGAATATTTCACGTACAGTTTTTGTGTATTTATACATAAATATACGTAGTAGTTGTGTAACTACATTGTCATAACATTGTAATTACAATAGCGGTATAACAATTTTATTACATTGTCATAACATTGTAATTACTACATTGCTATAAACATTGTAATTGCTGCAGTCATAACATTGCATTTACTACATTGTTATAACACTGTTATCACATTGTTTTAACATTGCAATTACATTGTTATAACATTGCAATTGCAATGTTTTAGATAGTTATTACATCGTTGTAACAACATTGTAATTACATTGTATTTACATTGTTATAACATTATTATAACATCACTTTGTTATAATAATGAAAAAACACTGTAATTACAACATTGTTATAACATTGTAATGACACATATGATAGTATTGTAAATGTTTTTATGTTTCATGTACAGTACAGTAGATGTAATTCGAGACGTAAGTTGCAATTGCCAACTTTTATCTTGTGTGCAATTATAGTGTTGTTACATTGTAACTACTATGTCACTACATTGTATGTACATTGTAGTCACATTTAAAATAATGTTTTTAAATGTAAATGTAAATGTTTTTTTTTGTATATTGCATGTACAATATTTGGTTATTTATAGTTTTATACGTAAATGTACAATACACATTTAATTACAAACTTAATTACTATGTCATTACAATGTAATTTTGTGTATTTAGAAATAAATATACGTAGTAGTTATGTAATTACAAACTTCTAATTTAGATGTAATTACTATGTAATAACAATGTATTTAGATTGTTATAACATTGTAACTACATTGTCATAACATTTTAGTTACATTGTCATAACAACGTAATTACTACGTTGTTAAAACAGTATATTTATGTAATTGCTACATTGTTATAACATAGTATCTACATTGTAATTACATCTTAGATAGTATTGTAAATGTGTTTTTGTATATTTCATGTATAGTACAGTATGTCCGTCACGCTGCTGACATTTTTATCAGTATTTTATTTTGATCAGCTTTACGTAGCTTCATAATATTACAGTTGGCCACTGATGACATATGGACAGTTTTGACAATCTTCTTAGAGTCTTTCTAGACTTTGACTGTTTTGAAAAGCCTTGCTTTCTATGGAAGATAAAAGAACTCTTAGATTTCACCTAAAATATCTTAATTCGTGTTTTAAAATAACCTAAAGTCTCAGGACATTGGAACAACATGAAAAACAACAAGTAAATTATGACAGAACATAAATTTCTGGGTGAACTATCCCTTTAACTTTAAGAGCCTATGAACCCATATAACAAGATTTGATCTGAACAAAAAGCAAATCCCCTCCATATGAGAGGCTGTTGCCAAAAAGACAACACCAAACTTGTTTCAGTATTGAGCAGATGCTAAATTTGGGAATGGGACTGAAGGAAGGATCTCATTCCAAACTCCTGCTCTTTTGAGAAGAACATGAAAGAGTGATGCCATTTTTGTGCCTCCAATCAAACCCTCTGCCAAAAGTGGAGAGATGATACCAAGCCATCACTCTTCATCTAAGAGAGAGAGAAACTTAATGGACTCCATTTCCCCTCCATTTACACTGGCTTTCACAAGGGTGTCAGCCTCCATGATGGGCATAATAAATTTAGTAAGCTCTTTGCAATGTCATCATTAATAGGAAACACTTACAAGAGGAATTTGGCAAACACATGTAGGCGGGTCTCAATGGCCTTTTCTTGCTCTTATAAACTGCATAGAAGTGTCAGGCTCTTTTCCAGTTCTTAAAGGAATAGTTCACCCAGAAAAAAACAGTTCAGAATGACAAGTAAATGATGACAGAACTTAATTCCGGGTGAACTATTGAACTAGCCACTGTTAAAAACTGTGTAAAATGAACTTTTTTTCCACCAGCCCTAGGAGGTTCCTTTTAGATCCAAAAGGCTGAGATAATCGTCATCAGCTTTTCCATTCATTCCTCCCTTTCTTCATCTAAAGCACAGATGTCGCTAAAAATGGTGCCAGGTTTATTTTCACCATCCTTAACTCTTTAATTAGAGGATTTGCTTGCTTTTTATGGGCTATTGAAATGGCTTACAGTCATTTCCCAGGAGACCATGTGTGGATGTGTATGGGGGGGGATCCAGTCGCCATTCAAGGAAAGGTCCTCCCTCCACCACATTTGAGCTTACCCCACCCTAAAAACCCCAAACTGTTCTTTCATTGCCCAAAAAATTAATAAATAAATAAAAAACAGGCAATACAAAAATATGTGCATGGGGCATTTCTGATTTAATTTCCTGTCCCAATAAAAATAAAATCCTGAAATTATTAGAGTTATTGTCACTAATTAAATACATGTATGTCTCATGCAACACATCACATACTAATGTACTCGCCCATTACAGCAGGATAATAACATGACTTGCAATCCACTGAATCATCTTTCCATGCACCACTGCTAATTTTGGCACTGCCAGGGAACATGGGTCTCTGCGGTGGTATAGATGCTGCAATGCTAAGTTTATAAAACAGTAATTATACTACAACTGAAGGTTAAAACAGAGGTTAACTGCTATTAAATGGTTTGTTTTGCTAGAATGTAAACACTAAAAGACATCCCTTTCCACAAATAAGGTGCGTGTTGGTTTACTGCTACTTTTAATAATAAATAGTTGGCACAAATACTATGTTGCTGTAGTAACAATGATTACATGTTATTTAAAACTATTATTAAAAATCAACAGTATCAAAATGAGCAAGAAGCAAACACACTACTCTGTGTATTTGTCACAATCACTAGTGAACTAGTCCATACAGATCGCTGAAGAACTACAAATCTGCCAATAAAAGAACTACAAATCCTGTCAGGCACCACACACACACCTGTTAGCTACTCAAGAACTTTAACACAGATTACACAGACCACATATACTGCTCTGTTTGACACACTTTGCTGAGTCTTGTTTGATATATACCCTACATTTCAAAGCATTCCATTGTCTTGCCTCGCCCTGTTTTCTGGCCCTCGCCTTGTTTATTGTTTTACGTATGTTGTTTGTCGCCTGAACTGACCACTCACCTGTGACTTTGACTACGCTTCTGGATTTCCCTGTATGTACCTGTTTGATCCTGTTTGACCGTTGCCAGCCTGACCATTCTCTGTTCAATAAACCGCATGTGGATCTTCACCTTCATTGTCCATTGTCCCTTAAGTTACAGAATTCATCTACACTATAGCTGACAGATTCAATGTCGCCTCACAGCAAGAAAGTCGCTGGTTCGAGCCTCGGCTGGGTCAATTGGCGTTTCTGTGTGAAGTTTGCATGTTCTCCTCATGTTCATAGGGTTTCCTCCGGGTGCTCCGGTTTCCCCCACAGTCCAAAGACATGTGGTACAGGTGAATTGGGTAGGCTAAATTGTCCGTAGTTTTTTAAGTGTGAATGAGTATGTATGGATGTTTCCAAGAGATAGGTTGCAGGTGGAAGGGCATCCGCTGCACAAAAACATATGCTGGATAAATTGGTGGTTCATTCCGCTGAGGCGACCCCAGATAAATAAAGGGACTAAGCTGAAAAGAAAATGAATGAATGAATGCACCTGGCTTTCTGAAGTCAAATCAAGAAAATCCCCAAAATCTTATTTTAAAAAATAAATTAATTAATTCAAAAGAACATTTAGGAGGTGATGCCAAGAACAAAACTTTGTAGACCCCATTTACTTGTTAAAGATCTAAATAGACTAAATAGATAGCACTAGAGTTCGTTTTCCCTCTTGGTGTGGTTTGTTTGGCAGGTCTGAATGTAGCAATCACACTAGAGTGCACACCAAAAAGCAGACCATAAAAGCATACTGAGACCTCCTTGAAGAAGTGGTCTCAGTACGCTTTCAAACGAACCCTTTAGCGATTTATTTGTGGTGAGAACATAATCCAAACTAAAACAGACCCAACCGTAAAAAGTATTGCACCTTTTTGGACTAATCCTGCTGCCATAGTCTGATGCACTGTCACATCTTCTGGGGTGTGGAGGAAAAATATTTGTTGACAGCGCTTTATCGACAATTTTAAAAACAGAGAGAGAGGGAAAAAACATAACCTGATGGACTGTTGATGATATTTCTGTAAGATGACATTACCGCAGTCTAGCTAAACTAATTTGCACCTCCTCCTGAAGTGACTTGTGATGTTAATTAAACAGAAAATATAAAAATAAAGAGTAATTCAAGACATGAATAAATACCACTAATAAGCATATTAATGAGCACTATATAATAAGTACTGCCTTTACTAAAAATCTGTGCCATACATACAAATTGCATATTAAATAATTATAATAATTATTATTCAAGGCAAAAAACAACAACAAAAAAACACATAGTGTAGCTGGAATTTCATAAACTCCAAGGATTACAGTAGGTTTTGGATGGGACTGAATTTCGCACTTCTGACTGACAATTGTTGCTGTTCATTACCATCCCGAGAGCATCATTGCCATTTGGAGAGCTCTTATACTCTGCATCGCTCCTCTTTGGCACTGCAAAAGCAATAGATCTTCTTTAGAGTCTCAGGTAGGTTGGAAGCAGTCAAATCGCATGCCAGCTGGCAGAAGATTATGATTACTATTCGCTCCCTCTTCCCGTCCCACTGTATCACTAAGGAATTACAACTTCTGTTTTGTAAAACATTTTTTAGTTCGCGTACATACACTACACACATCCATTTAAAGGTGCATAAACATTAAAATGCATTTAAATGGTTCCTTGTAGGGCTTTTTAAATCTAAAGTTCAGACACACCCTGTACCGCGACCACACATGGGGGCACACAGTGAATAAAAGCTATTGAAATGTTTTCAACACGAAGAAAACTAAGTATAGCAAACATCACGCCTCAAAAACTCTGATTGGAATACAACCACAAGAGACCAAAATAACCACTCGAATGCATGTAGTAGTTTGACAAAATGCTACAAAAGATACTGAAAGAGCTAGAAAAGGACACTGTGTCAAGATTATAGCAGTTTTGGATTTTTTATTAGTTTTAGTTTTAATTTCGGTTTGACTTTTGCTTTTAAATTCAGTTAGTTTTAATTAGCTTTAGAGGCAGATTTACTGGTTTTTATTAGTTTTTATATTTTGAAATTGCTAAGTTTTAGTTGAGTTTTTATTAGTTTCAGTATTTCAGGACACTTTTTGCTTGCGTTTTCAGTTGACGTTTAACGCCTCGATTAAATAAAGGGTGCCAATTTGATCGTGCACACCAACGCGCAAAACGCTAGGCGTAAAAGCATCATTTAGGAAACACATCATGCTAATTTATTTTTTGTTTTTTTATTTTTTAACCTTCTCTACCAATCAGTTTTGCACTTTCGTTCACTTGCACGGAGCTGCTAAAGTTACAGTAAACAGCACTTGGAGGCCAGTAACTTTAACAACAAGCGAGTCAACTTTCTTTTTTATTACAAGCGGGTGTCAGAAGCTTAAAGTTGTGTAGCACCATCTAACATCAAGGAGTGATTTTTGCATACTATTCTGCTCAACACCAGAGAAAATCGATTGGATTTGAATCTGGAAAAATGTCTCAAAAAATGCTGACGATAAATATTTTCGAATAAAAACTCAACCAAAGATAGGCTTTTGACAAAAGAACACTACGATCTACGTACGTACCACTACCATATACCTATCCTCAAATTCAATAACAACAGCCCACAAGATAGCAGCCCTAAGTACAATATGTGTGCAATGCTGCTTCTGAGGTTAGATTCACAGTAGTGATGACAATATTCAAAACATTTAATACATCATAAAAATATCAACAATATGTAGTGAGCAATCATAATTTCAGTGTTACAACATCACCATGATCTAAAAAGTTTCTTACAATTACATTTTACAACCCAACCGAAGCACTTTAATAAATAGCATTAAATAAATAGACTTTCTGTTAAGAAATAAACTTTTGTTTTGTTAGATCTTCTCATCTAAGCCCTTGGTTTACCAGCGCTTAGTTCAGCTACAGCAGGCTGTCATGTACTGTTTGTGTTCGGTTCACTAAATCACGCATGTGCAGTATTATCGGCTCACCGCTTCTCAAATCTGATCTCATTGTACTGTTCCAATACCTGAATAACTCAATATATGTTGGTTTAGTCAGAGGGGGGTATGGGGCATGTAAAAATGAAGTTGTTTGTGGATACGTGCTTAATTTTAACAGAGACATAAATCGTTTCAAATGGTTCAGTTTGATTTGGTAAATTAGTTCAACAGGTTCACTTGGAAGATCTGTTTAAAAAGAACGGTTCGCTCGTTATCACGATCACAATTACAGAAATAAAGCCCATTATTGGGCACAAATGTGTTAAAATAATACATTTATTTGTCTGCTCGGGTGGTATTTAATGTTGTTTGGTTTTGAAAGGATTTAGACTGTGCTTGTATCTTACCGTGTACAACTCATTGAGGACTTTCATCAGATCCTCCTGCAGCTGGAGGCCCACCTCTTTGCTCTGAAAGAAAGAAAATAAAAACATTAGTAAAAGAGTAAAAGACAAATAGAGTGAGATAATGGTGTGGACCATGATTAACAGTAGATCCCTGTGCTCTGTTAACAACTGACTATCCTTCTTGAGCTGTGAGCCCCGAGGATGTCACTGTTAGACAGACAAATGAGACGCCTATCTGCCCTTTCAGTAATGGAGGTCAGCACCAGCTAACCTCAGACACATCTAGCTTAATGCAGTTCTGCACAACTTGTCTGAATATACTGGAACATTGCACACTGAACCCGAGTAACCACATGTTCAGCTGAATATGGGATTTGCAGGAATATACTTATAGGATATGCAGGGGGATACAAATGTTTTACAGAGTGAAAGATGGCTAAAATGCTCGCTTTTTTCTATTCATAGAACTTTCATTTGGATGCATGTCTTTTTATGAAAGTAAAATGAGTTGCAAACATATTAACGACAGATCAATTTACTCAAAACTGTATACTGTGCTTCTTGCTAGCACTTATTCATATTGTACTCCAAATTTGTAAGATAAAATTCAACATTTCTTCTGTTTTCTGTCCATACAATGAGGGTTTGTGAAAACCAACAGTGGAACACTGAGTGGGACTTAAACAAAGCATGTTCTGAAACTTTCATTCACTAATGCCAGGAAGTACTAGGAAGTTTACCTTCATTACACTAAACCTCACTCCCATCTAGGTAACAGCACCAATGTACCCCCTCCCATTTTACTCACACTGCTCTGAGCAGAATTCAAACTAGTATATCTGGAAAGGGAGGCAGGTGCACCTTCAAGGATGCTAAAGACTACAGCCTTCAACAATATCTGCTACCGAGCCTCTTGAGGCCAGATTAGTGTTGTTTACTTGCTCATCTCCTACTATCTTACACCCATCAGGGTCACACCAATGTAAGCCCTGTGTATCTACACCAAAAGCCTATAAAGTGGGATTCAAGTTAGCATCTCTGGCATAAAGGAGGGTGCACTAACAACAATGCTAATCAATTGGTAGTGCAGCTCATGAGGCGGTTGTGAGAAAGTATGTCCTATATAGCTATACTCCCTGCTCCCCCCAAATCTTAAGCCCATTTAACCTTGCTTGTTCAACTTCCAAAGCTTCATATGGGATTCAAGCTTATGTGTTCAGCTAGAGAGGACTGTTTACTAACAAGAATGCTGAAGATCACTGCCTTTACTAATAATTATTGCCTCTCGAGTAAGGTTTACGTCCACTGCTTCAATTATCTGGGCCATCTGCCAACTTTACACCCATCATGGCACCAATATAATCCCTTTGGTCCTAGTTAAGCCACTATTAAGTGCTCTGTGCACCTGCTTTTAAAAAAGAATCAACTGTGTGAGGAAAAAGCACCTGATGTCATGCGCTCCAGCACCAAGACAAAAGATACAGTGGTTGCCTAGCAACATAAAAAGTACAGCTCACTTCCCTAAAGTCAGTGTGGTGCACCTCACATTTTCAGAGCTAAAAAGAACTGCTAAAACTTCTGCTTTCAATGTAAATACCTGAATATATGCAAGACTAAACCATTTCATAATAACATGCTTGTGAGTACATGACAGAATATTCATTTCTGTGATATTTATCCTTTAAAGTCAGCAGTGTCACAACTTGCAGTTACAGTAGTTCCTCGCAATTGTGCACTTGCATCCAATATTTTGTTAAAATTGTAAAAGAAAACTGAAGTGTACAGACAGTGTAAAAATCAATTTGCAATGAACTGGAAACCATTACAAGTGAACTTGATGAGACTTCCTTTTAGAGCCCATGGAATAAAAAGCCTGGTAAACTCTGTGTGACATGGAAAAGGTGGTTTGCTGCTCTGATGGATGGTCTATCTTTTAGGAGGAAGTTTGGGAATGTAGGCACAGCACGACATGAAAATTAAGTGCTTGGGAGTTCAAGCCCAATCTTCAATCGCTGTGGGCTGATAACTTGAGAGCCGGCCAAGAAGATGTCTAGCATTCACTAAGGGGTTTTAGTCAGTCACTCCTTTCCTTTTCGCCACATTGACATTTTTGTGGGGTTTTCCTGTTTTTGTAGGTTGGAAAAGGGATTTGTGGCTGTTGGACAGATGTCAATCAGCTCTTGGGGATGAGAAATCATGGAAATGATGGAAGAGAAAAGAAACGAGTGACTTAAAGGAAATTAGGTGTGTTCATGGGCATGTAAAAACAGAAGGGGGAGTTACGGGTGAAAGAGAAATGGAGAGAGTGTTCACAAATAGTCAGTCTGTCAATCTTCACAGTGATTGTGCAGTCACACAGCCTCCTTCCTGTTGTCTATGATAGAAAGACTGAGATGGATGAGTAGGCTGTAGGGAAGAGTCCCTTAGGAGATCCCCTTTGGAGAGTCATTCATAATGGAGGTCTGCTGGGTTTTATTTGGAGGCAGTGGACTGAGTAATATGTGAGAATGTGAAAGAACACCCAGATTCAGAGCATGGGATGAACTGCCTTGCGCACCTCATTTCTCTAAGCATGCCTGTTGAAGTTGGCTAAGCTGAGTATAAATTCATAACTTGATACTAAGATACCTGTATCACTAAGATACAGTAACAAGTCAATATTTTGCTTATAAGTTAAATAAAACTGTAAAATAATACCAAGACATAATACCATTTTCCTGAATGGTCCTTACTGGCTCAAAAAATGAACTGGAGGTTATTTACAAGCATAATGTCACAATCTCGGTCTGATCACCGGTTTGATGTTTGTGTTACTTTTTCCCTTTCACTCGTATTGTTTTGATCACTCATACCCTGCTTTGTTTACCTCTCGCTTCCCCACCCATCTGCTCTATTACTTTCCATTAGTCTATCAAACTAATTTCACTCACCTGGTTTCCTTGATTTCTCCCCCTATTTCTCCCTCTGTTGATCGTAGTTCTGTGTCAGATCGTAGTTTTTCCCCTTCCGGCATGTCTGGCGATCTCCTGGTCTAGTCCTGTTCCTTGTATATCCTGTGAGTTTTGTCGTGTCTGATGTCATCCTGTTGATTTTCCTAAAGTGTTTTTTCTCCGTCTGCCTTCAAGCCTGTTCCCGTCTGTTTTTGCTTTGCCGCCCATCTGACTCTCCGTCCCTATCCTGCCGGCCCTCAACACTCTCTCGCCGGCTTCCAAGCCTCAGTCTTCCTCGTGGCCATTCTGTCCCAGTCAGCGGCGGCCGGATTCATCGCCCCCTGTCGGGTATCAGGGTATTGCACCCTCTTGAAGACAGTTCATCTAACCTCTCCGGAGTAGTTTTATTTAATCGTTTTTGGAGACTTTATTTCTCAGTTTTGAGTTTTTGTGAACTTTGGGCTTTTTTGCCAACTCCATTACGGAGGAATTTTTAGTTTCCTTTTTTGAAGATTGTTTTGTGGACTATTTTTTGCCCCTTGAGTTTGTGGGCTTCAATAAACTTTGCTGAGACCTGCATCTGTGTCTGAACCATCTTCTCTCTCACTCAGACCCCTGACAGTACGATCTGACCAACGATGGACACAGCAGGCCAAGATTCTGTCAGGTCGGCTTTAACTCAGCAAGGAGCTCTATTGGGTCAGCATGAGTCAAGACTCACCAGCACTTCCAGAGAAGTGGAGTATCTCACCAATCAGGTGGCTGATCTCACGGCCCGTCTACACGAGCTTCAGTTCGAGACCCTGCAGGGGGCCCAGGCGTCCCATCAGGCCCCTGAACCACGCTGCAACAATCCCCCTACCTATGATGGGGATCCTACTTCATGCCGGGCATTCCTGTCCCAGTGCTCGGTGGTCTTCACGCTCCAGCCACGCACCTATGCCTTGGAGGAGACTAAAGTGGCCTTCGTACTTACCCTTCTCACGGGCAGAGCTCGCGACTGGGGAACGTCTGTCTGGGAGGCCAGAGCACCATGCGTTTCCTCTTTTAGTAGTCTCCGTCATGAAATGATCAGACTCTTTGACCGATCTGCCAGGGGCCAGGAGGCGGCAGATCAATTAGCTCGTCTTCGTCAGGAAGGTCAGTCTGTCACTCAGTACGCTATAAAGTTCAAGACGTTGGCGGCCTCATGTGATTGGAACGAGGGAGCCTGTCATGCCATGTTCCGGGCTGGACTGGATGAGGACATCCAGGATGAACTGGCGACCCACGACCTACCTCAAGATTTTGACACCCTCACAAACCTGGCGCTTCGCATAGAGGGCCGTCTTCGCCGTCGAGACCATCGAAGGTTTCTGCGCTCTTCAACCAGAAGAGAGGACCCCGGGTCCCTTTCCACCATGGTACCTCCATCGGATCATGAACCCATGCAAGTGGGACGTCTCCATCTCACGTCTCATGAGAAACAGCAGCGCCTGGCTCAGGGTCTGTGCCTATACTGTGGCAAGCCGGGGCATTTTGCAGCGAAGTGCCCAGTAAAAGCCAAAGCTCATCAGTGAGAAGAGGGATCCTGGTGGGCGCTATTCCTTTCTCTTCCCCCTCATCTCGCACCATTCTCCCTGTTGTGGTCCAGTATGATGGCATTTCTGGTTCCTGTTCTGCTCTCATTGACTCTGGGGCAGAGGGGAATTTCATGGACCGCTCTGTGGCCGCCCAGTGGGGAATCCCGACCATCCCTCTCGCTGAATCTGTTTCTGCCCATTCCCTTGATGGTACTCTTATTGCCACCGTCTCTCACACTACCCCTAGTGTAAGTCTTATTGTATCCGGCAATCACCGTGAGGTCATCACGCTGTATCTTTTAGACTCACCCAATGCACCTATAATTTTAGGGCATCCTTGGTTGGTAAAGCATGGTCCTCACGTGGATTGGTCTGGAGATTCTGTCTTGTCTTGGAGTCAATCATGTCTTAAGTCTTGTCTTGGTCCTGCCCCGTTTCCTGTTTCTGTGTCTTCTGTGTTACAGGTGGAGTCGGTGGATCTGACCGGGGTTCCGACGGAGTACCACGACCTGCACCTGGTCTTCAGCAAGTCCCGGGCCACCTCCTTGCCTCCGCATCGACCCTACGACTG